CATGAGTCCTTTGAYATTAATTCATTAGTTTTAAAAGGCAAACTTACTTAGGTGCAACTCATTCCTCCACAGCCTTGCAATGCAGTCAAACTTAAGTAAATTAATCCTCATGAAGAGCAGTAGGCTATTATGTTTAGAACCCTTTATTATACGCTATTCCACTTTTGTATTCAAACCCTACATGAATAAAGTGTTTCCCTGAGTACCATTTAATGGAAAGTTGAGGAAATTAATATAGGCAGAATCAACTCCATATATCCTGGCAATCAGCCATCTGCTGTTACACAAGAGACCAAAGTCGAAAACGTGCCTTCACATACAAGTTAGTTGATGTTATTCTCTATTTTCTATTCTAGTGATCTCTAGATGACAAACTAGAAGTTTCATCACTAATTTTATGTCCAARAGCAAGAACAGACAACTCTTGCTAAGCAGACCTGGAACAAACCACACTTTGTGAAATGTTAAAATTCACAGTTTTTCAGCTGCCTCTGCMAGTGCATTCTGCCTTCTATAAGTTACAATGGCAGCAAAAAGCACTGCTTTCTCTCCAAGTCTACACATTAKTTAGAGAAAACACCTTTCCCGGAGAAACAAATACCAAATACTTAGTCTTCAAGCAGAAAACAAAAGCATTTAAATAAGGAAAAATGAAAACAAAAAAAATACTGCTGAGAAAGTTTATTTTGCCACAAAAATAAATTTGAGTTCAGACAATCTGGCTAAAACAGAATGAAAAAAAAAAATCAAAGAAAAAAAAATACACAAAACAGTCAAATTCTCATACATAAGCACCCTTGCTGCAAGTGACTTAGCCTAGCAGGGCCAAGGGGAGAGTTAACTAACTCCTGGGTCTCTAGAAGAAGGAACTATCATTCTTTGCTACAAATGCAAGCTCTCTATATTGAGAGCATACCCATACACCAGGAAAGCTCCTTTGTAATACCAGAAAAATATTCAACAATGTCTGTTAGAAATAATAAGAGGTAGCAAAGATCTGTTTCTTATACACTTGCCTGGGGGCATTCAGGTTCAGTTTAAGGATAAAGACAGCACTAAGACTTTCAGCTGCACAGATCAAGGCACAAACAATTCTCACTTATAAGTAAACACTCTGGATAAAAGATCAATACTTACTATGAGCTTTACTATTAGTAGAAGAAAATAAACAACTCCTCTCCTACCCCTCAGTGACACTGCTGCTTTACTCCCCCCAAAAGAGCAAGAGAAACAAAGCTGAAGAAAAACAAGTGATTGATCCTAACACTCTTTGGTCAGGTGCTTTTGGTCAAACGTGATCCAAAGAGTCAAGAAGCATGCTCAAGCAGCACTAGAGAATGGAAAGCTGTTAACTCTCCTGCCATGACCTACTATCACTGTTCTTCTAAAAGTGGGCTATTACTATTATTTGGCAGGTACAGACCAAAGCCACCCCCACACACAAAAAAAAAAAAAAAAAGAAAAAAATGCCCTCCAAGTAGATTGCAATACTCCTCCCAGACTGAAAAAAAGTTCTAGTTTGGCTTTTTTTTTAGGTTCTTCTGTGAAAAAGCTTTAAAAAGTGAGATTAAAACTATGTTTTTTGTTCATTTTTYAAACTGTAGCACGTTAGTTGTCTGAAAAGACACCACAGATGCCAAAGCGAGAAAGTCTAGAGGCCCCTTCTACCAGAAACAGGAAGTTTTGACCCAGGAAGCCACAGTGCAAAGCAGCATGGCACAAAAACAGTAAAAGCATTCTTGATGCACTCGAGCTTGCACATAAGTGTCTCAGTTCTTTGCATGTGCRATCCACATAGTTTACCATATGCCAGGCAAGTGGATTTTCTTTGCAAAAGACAAGACATCTACACAAAGGATCCTACTTTGACACAGTCCTGTGAACTCTGCTCTCCTCCCCACCAATAGCATTTCATTGATCTAAACATCATAGGATTAAGAATTTATTCATGCTCAACAGTTCTCAAACTTGGCCACACCTAATAAGCACAGACAACTTGATGGAAGAGTAAGGGGATTTACCATAGCAGAACCTTGAGAAAAGTTTTTCCCCTCTTCCCAAATCACATACTTAGAGCTAATGACTGATTACTACTCAGACAGTGCTTCACAAACTACAATTATATATGATATCTAGGCAAAAGTGGTATAAGGGACAAATCTCTCAGATACCCACTAGAGCTTGGCCTACTTAGCTTTTTCATACAAGTTATCTACACATTTAATTGGATACGAAAAAATTCATAATGTTCCATTATGAACATCTATTCACTGAACCTACTATGAGAGTCATCCCTTAAAAAAGAAAAAGGGTCTCAAAKACACTGCTCTTCATGGCTCAGAGTAAGGACTTGTATGATCTCTTAACAGGATATAAAACCGGTAAAGAGGTAGTCTGGAACATACCCAGGTTTAGCCCTGTCAGGGAGGCTATGCAAGAGTCTCGCATTGACATTGCTCCCACATATCTTACAAAATAAGTCACTTTTGCTTTTTTCCCTCCACTCCAACAGGGCAGAGGAAGATGGAGGTCAGAAACTAGAAAAATCAGCATAAGGTGAATTATTTCACATTGCACAAAATAGCAAGCAAAAAAAAAAAAAAAAACTACATTACTACCCAGAAATGAGAATAAGACTTAAGAACTTAAGATTCAAGTAAGGGTTCTCATTTGCTCTTCTTATCTGGGGAGCAAAGGCAATACTTTGACACAGAAATTTATCAATATAGACTGAAAGTCATATTTAAAGCATAAAACAGATGAACAGCAACATTCAATGCGTGACTTGGTTCTAGACCTCCGCTTTAGCAAGCTACCTAGAAATTACACCATGCACTAAAATACAGAAAGACAGAGATGCAGCTTCTTTGTATTGTGTTTTTCCAAAACTATTATAAATCATTTCCATACTTTTAGGAAGATATTTCTAAAACTCGCTAGTTTATTAATACCATACCTTTGACCGCTAAGATTTTTTAATGAAGAGGAACACTTTTCCCTACCCTTCCTAAGTAAAAGAAGGTATCATTGCCTTATAGCATCTTCTTTCAGCATCACTAGCCACACAGCAAAGAACATCACTCCAAACATATAGATGTCCTGGAATTTTTTTTTTTTAAGCCACCTCCCTGCTCAATCACATTTCATACCAGTGAACAGATTGTTGAAGTCCCAGCTGCACCTTTCCCTCTCCATAGAAACTCTCTGCCAAGCAGATATCTGAAGCAGTCTCCCATAAATACCCATCCATACAAACACATAAATTTTCACACATTTATTCTTACTGTATGAAGTAGCACAAGGTACCACAAAAGCAAGTGCTGGCATCTACCTCACTGACAGAGATTCTTGAAAGGAGATCATCCTGCATCTAATCATCATTTTTAAACAAGAAATACTCCGCACTTCCATCCTTGAAGACCCACTTCCCTTCCATTTTAGCTAGAGTTGTGTCACAAACTGCATGTCCTCCCTCCTCCACAAGAAGAGTCTAGTACTAGGAAAATCTTACCCTGCCAGACATCTTAAAATATCTCTTCCCGCATGTCCTCCCACCAAGACATACAAAAGTTAAAAAAAAAAAACACACACGAGTAATTTATTTTTGCTGTGTTCTTCATTTAAACAGACTCCAAACAAAACCATTCATCCTCACACTTGACTTAGTTCAAGTCAGACATGTGCTCAACAAGATGCAAAATTACAGTCTATTCTGCAGTCAGGCCAATTCCAGTATGGATATTTAACATGCGTAACACCAAGGAGCTTGCCCTTTTCCTGCACATTAGCAAATCTTTTTCAATTTAGCTTAACCTTTCTCAAGAAAATGTAAAAGTRAAAAGTGCTTTTCCTCCATTGAAAAGCATGCATCAAAAAACGCTCCCCCCTCAAACAGTGCAAAATACTTGGACTCTCTTCTTAGAAACYCAAAGTAGCAATTTCTCAGCAGTGCTCTAACACTAGCACAAGGCAGCAAAATAATATTCAGCTAAAACTACAAAGATAATTTAATTAGGCAGAATATAAGTGAGCAGACTAGAACTGGTGATTAATACTGTGCTAGATAACCTGGGAAGCCACAAAAGCAAAATATGATGCTATTTCTAATGACCCTAAATGCACTGCCTGCAATACTCCCAAGACCCAAACAACAGAAGAGCAAGTCTTCCTGCTTTTCCCTCTCCTATTTAAATACACCATTGTAGATGCAGCAAGAGCCAAAACAGGCCCACAGCTGAGAGGTGAAAGGGTTCACCCACACCGAGCAGCACAATGAGGAAGCTCAAAGCATTTTTGAGACCCTGGCGTGTTTAAAGACACCTTACATATGTTTAAAGACTATTACCTAAAGAAGGCCCCTCGTTCCTCACACACCGACCCACAGGTAGTTTCTGTTTACAACAGCCTGGCCTCAGCCCCGGCCGGGCAGGGCGGGCCGGTGCGCGAGCTCGCGGCGCTGGAAGCACCTGGTGCAACGCGGAGGAAGGGGCCGGTGCCCGCGGCCTCGCGCAGCCCTGCCCGGGAAGGCCTCTGCTCCATGGGGCACCTCGCCCAACAACAACCCCGTGGGAGCTCCCGCAGGAAGCCTCTCCCAGCTCCTCCGGCTTCCTTTCATGGAAGTGGACAATGGCAGAGCCTCCCAGGGAATCGCTGTATTCCCTCTTTCCCCAAACTCTCGCAGCCGAGGGGGCTGTGGTACCTTTCGCACTCGGGGAACACGGCTAGGCAGCACTTGCTCTCTGCCCGTCTAGTGAAACCGAGCTTTACCAAGCCGTCCCGAGAAAGCAGCACACACCCAAWGCCTGCGCCTTGCGTACACGCGCTTAAATGGCTGCCAGCTCGCAGAGGATATCGCGGCGCAGAGCCCCGCGCTCATTCATATTCGCGACTGCGGTGCCCGGAGCGCAGACGTTTCAGAGGGCAGCGAGGAGCGGGCGCTGCGCCCCGCCAGAGGGCCGCGGCGGCGGGGGGAGCGGACCGGGGGCACGAGGGGCACTCACCCGGGCAGCAGCTGCTCGCGGAGTTTCGCCAAGTTGAGGGCGAGGCGGCGGCGCGCTCCGGAGTCCCTCCGCTGCCCAGCTCAGTCCATGGAGCGGCGGCAGGGGCGGCCGCGCAGCTCGGCAGCACCGCGGCGAGGCGCTGCCCGGCACCTTCCGTGCTCGCCGGGCAAGCGAGAGCGAGGAAATGCACCCGGCGCCTCAGGCCACGCCTGCCGCCGCGCGGCTCGCACGCAGCCGCGCTCCACACAAAGGCGGCTCGCAGGAAGCGCCGCTCCGCCGCCCGGCTCGCGGCTGCCCCGGCCCCCGCTTGCCCCTCGCCGCCCGGCCCTCCGCGCGGCTCCGCTCCGCTGACCCCGAGGCGTCCGCTGGGGGTCGTTGCGCTGCAGCTCGGTCGCCCTACGCGTAACTTGGGGTTCAGCGGCCTCCGTCGCTTCGTCCCCTCCTCCCTGGCGGCGGGAACGGTCGCCACACGCCGCCCAGCCGCCCCTCGCCCTCCAACGGTTGCTCCTTAACGGTCGCCCAGCCGCCCCTCGCCCTCCAAC